GTGTGTGTGTGTGTGTGTGTGTGTGTGTGTGTGTGTGTGTGTGTGTGTTTATCTGTGAGAGACCTTGAACACACTGGGACACTATCTTTCTAGCCCTACTCCAAGGGGCAGCCTTAGATTCCAAGGGCATTCTGACAAAAGTGGCTTCATGTTAGCGTTTGTTTGTTTGTTTGTTTGTTTGTTCGTTTGTTTTTGAGACAGAATCTCCTGGGTTCAGGCTGGCCTTGATTTTTCCATATAGCTGAGAATGATCTTGAACACATGATCTTCCCGCCTCCACCTTCCAGCTAGAGGTATCAGATACGAGCTGCAGCCCTGCTTTAAGCACGGAGGGATGAGAGGTGGAGTAGGCACAAGGCCCTGACAGTGAACAGCATCATTCAGGCCAGAACAGAGACCTGCAAAAATGCCAAGAGAGTCATGTCCTGGGATAGGGAGGGCGTGCAAGTAAGGGAGGGCCTACCAATCAGGCGAGCCATGCTGACGGCCCCAGAAAGGAACCTCAGTGTTGAGGAAGCTCGGAGGAGCCAGAAGACAGGCACAGCCAGGCCTTAGAGGGTAAGACAGAGAGACCAGTGAGCTGTGAGGCAGAGCTTCCTCAATCCATCCTGGGAGTAGTGCAGCTTCATCCCATGCATGCAAGGAAGAGATTTTCTCCAGAAAAGCCAGCCCTAACCACAGTAAAGAAGGAGTTCAGGGAGAATCTCAGGCCAGGGGTCCTTGGGCTGGAGTAACTCCAGCCTCAGCAGAGTCAAAATAGAGCCTCCGTAGCAAGAATAGCCCTGTGGTGGGGATGGGCTAACAGCAAAGACTGACCAAGGGAAGAGAAAGGTCCAGAGGCAACTGAGCTAGACTGTGGCCTTCCACAGAGTCACTTTGCACAGGTAGCTGGCTTGAATGGCAGGTGTCTGATGAGCCAGATGGGATCCCTGAAAGGGGCCTCCCTGTAGATGCTCTTGAGGCCTCCCAGAGCTGATTGTGAATGGCAGAGTTTGGGCAAACGCCACTATTGTGGTGGTGTGCTGAAATGAAGAAGGCCAAAGGAGCTCCAG